ATATGATTCACTTTCACATATCACATATTCCTTTTTCTCCTATTTTATTCTCAAATATTCACATAACTTGGATCAAATATACATATTGTCACGTAAATCACTTTTGCATAGCTTATATCAACTTTTCATGTCATTTCACACTTCTTGTTACATTGCTTATATCTTACTCTTATGTCTTCTCATATATATATATTCACATATACGTATCATTTCATTATTCTTATTATTATTCTATCATCACCATTAATCCTTTTTTCTTACCATTTTCATATCAATAACACCTATATATATCATAACAAATACATACTTATATGGATTTATGCATTTTACTATTGGAAATAGACTTATCACAAGTCTTAATTTCCATTGAACATCATATACTAAATAATGTGCACTCACCTTAGTCTTGCTTTGATTTGATCCTAATTCTTTGATTGTTCCAAAACTCATTTAAGCTCAATATCTACATAAACATAATTTCCGAAGCAATTATCAAAAGCTTAAACCTTATAACTTGGTATTAATAACTTAGGCTCATTTAATGAACCAAAAATTCCATTTTTCCTTTAGGGGTATATCGATACACTATGGGTGCATCGGTACACAAAATAGCTTCGAAATTCCCATGCATCGATGCACCCCTTAATGCATCGATGCATCTTCAAATTTTGTCTTAGTGCATCGGTATACACTCATAGTGCATCGATGCACCTGCCCAGAATAGGTTCTTTCATCCGAAAATCATCAACACTTCACCCAAATTTTCATGTATAAAACCCTTATTATGTTACTAAATTCATCTATAACAACTTTAACCAATTCCTATCATTCCAACACTTTATAATCTCCCATATTTTATCCAAATTCTTAAGGCTAAAAATCATCTCAAATTTTCCATGTTATCCAAACTTAATTCTAACACTTATAACTTCTTATTCACCCTTACGACAAGTCAAATTTAGTTTCAAATTCAACTTATCAACTCTTTTTTAGAAATTCACTTAAAACTCCATTTTCTTTAATCTTTCATAACTTCTTAATCTCTTAATTTTAAGACAAATTAAGCTTTCCTTAAGCTTAATTATCATCTAATGATCAAAACTCAACCTTTAATTTAACAAATAATCAACTAATGAGGAAACTTACCTTTTGCTTGAGCTTTCACGTGGAGAAGAGAAGAAGATGAAGAAAAGAATTGCTTGGAAACTTATCTCTTCAATCATTCTCCACATGGGTATTAAAATACCCATTAATTATTATTTAATTATTTTTCCTTGTTCAATTACTCATTTGCCCTTTGACTCCTTTAATATTTACTAACAATTTTCAGGAAATATCTCCACATAAATCATTGAACTATTCAACTATTTTACTTTTATCCCCAAATTTTGAAATTTTACAATTTAGTCACTAACCCTTAATTTGGGATGTTACAGGTTATCCTATGAGAATGTGACTTTGATTTATGTTAGTTTATATTATCATACATTTTTATATGATGTTTTGTATTTATGATATATATGATATGTTTAAATATTAATATGCTTTACTTTGATTATGAAAAAAACCTCACTAAGTGTATACTTAGTGTGTGACAGTTTTCACGTGTAGGTAAAGGATATCGAAAGGAGTAAGGAGATATTTTAGCATCTACTATCAAGGATTACTCTCTAGTATCAATAATGACATTTTACTGATGTTTTTGATTTCCTAGTTGGCAGGTATATGTATATATATGTTAATGGGCTTTGATATGATTATGTTTTGGGTTTGGGTTTGTAATAGTTTATATATGTTAGATTTTAAAGAATGATACTTAGTTATATTAGTTTAAAGTAATGGTTTGTCAATTGATATTTTAGTAAACTAATTTAATTTGCTATCGAGATGAATTTTTGTTTAAGCAATTATTAGCCAGTTTTACTTATTATATTATATAGAATTGAATTGCCATAATGTTGCTTCAAAATAAGTTTGATTTGAATGTTAGAATATTTTATTTTGATTTTACACGATTAAATAATTTGTGATATATTGTTTTCGAAACGAATGAATTTTAAAGGAACAAAATTTTATTGATTTTTGGTATAAGAAATGCTTTATGAAGTTCATGTGGCGTCTCTAACTTGTGTTCTATGATGGATTTGGGAAAGGGGTGTTACAGATGCTCACTAGGTTTTATTATTTGATAACTTAATAATCGACTTGGGTTCATTATTCGATAACGACTCCCAAGTTGTTCCCCTCATATTGCTCTTCGATTCACCCTCAAACTATAAAGGCAAATTATGCTTCTTTTTGATTATCAATGCTCATATGGTGCACGATTCCTTTATCATGTAAATCACATAGTTCATCATATATCTTGTAGGTGTATCATATGCAATGATCCTTTGTTTATCAATTACACAATATATAGTCGATTCAGGACACTTGGAAGTATATACCCATTAAGGTTACTTCAGTCAAAACCCACTCCGTATAATGTTTCTTAGGACTTTTAGCAATTAAGTCTTTCACTGAATAAGTCCCACTGTTACAGGTCATCCATAACTCTTATAGCCTTAATGAAGTCAAATTTAACCATCCAAAACAAGTAGTATCAATACCCTATATGTAGTACTGATACTCCCTTGTCAAGTATTAATACTCCCTTGAGTATCGGTACCAAAACCAACTTAAGTTTCCAAAAATCATTTCAGTATCGATATTGACACCCTTGTTATCGATACCAGGGATGCATTGTCGATACTACTCCTTAGAGTATTAATACTCCCTATATAAAATGCCTAGAAATCAACCTAGTTCATCCAGTATCTATATAGTTCATCTAGATCGATACTAAAACCCATAAATGTCTCATTTAGGCTTGAGAAACACTAAAAAAATCCTATCAAAAGTCTTAGTTTGGTCCTAAATCATGTGCTAAAGCTTAGGGAAATTACTTGGGATCATTTAACACCCTAAAAAACAAAATCTAAGCACCAAAAATGTCATCTATGGCGTGAATCAAGAAAAAACCCTAAAATATTTAAACACACAAATCCCAACAAAGCATCATGACTATGAAAGACATTACACCACAAAGGATTACAAATACACTACCTTGATGCTAGAATCCTAAAATGAAGCACCTTTAACTAACTACAACTTTCATCTTAGAACTTGATTGATTCTCAACTCTGTTCCTCTAGCCAAAAGAGATGCAAGGATTTCTTAACATACACATGGTTGTAAAAAGTGTTCGAGACATATTAAAAGTCTATTGGAGTAAGAAAAATGTTCTTACCATTCACTTAGAGCTATGGAGACTTAAAGAATGAAAGAAGATGAAGTAAGGAGAAAGATTAAGAATGATTAAGTGTTTTTCTTCCATCCAAAAGCCACACCCAAGGATAATAAAATCCTAAGAAATCAACTTCATTTTTACAATGGGATAATTGCAATTTTAGTTTCTCCACTTTCATATTCCATGCAAAAATCCCATTTTTATCAACCATTTGGGCTCAATCTACTCCAAACAAGCCCAACTTGGCCCAATTCTTTTAAATTGCAACATCACAGGGCCAGATACCTCTCGAATCCATCTGAAACTCCTAACCTAGAATTCAAGGTGTTACATTCTTATTTTATCAAATAAAATTAAAAATTATATGTGTGTGTGGCTACTAAGTCATTATGATGATGAATATGACATGTTCATATTACATGTTAGTAGATAAGTTAATTGTAATAATATCTCTCTTATATTATTTTTCAGTTAGATCTATGTGTGTGTGGTTTTTAAGTCATTATGATGATGAATATGGCATGCTCATATTACATGTTAGTAGATAAGTTAATTTTAATAATCTCTCTTTATATATTATTTTTCAATTTGATCCTTGTGTGTGTGTCAGGTCGAGTTTTATCTGAAAATACAGGTCAAATTTCAAATCGGGTGAAGTCACTTTAAACCCAGGTTGGGTTGCGTTTCAGGTCAGGTCGAGTTTTATCTAAAAATACGAGTCAAATTTCAGATCGAGTGAAGTCGCTTTAAACCCAGGTTGAATCAAATTTTGGATGGATGATGTATTTTTATCGGGTCGGGTCGGATTGACTGAAAACTAAGGATGTTCATGGACGGTTAACCGTACTATTTAACCTAAACAATAGGTTAACCATTATAACGGTTATAAATTTTTTAACCATAACCTAACCATTAAGAAACGGTTAACCGTTATTAATTTTCCGGTTACAGGTCAACCTACGGTGAACCTATTATAATTATTTTTCAAAGACAACATAACATGAACGTTTAAAGTTTCATAATTCATGCTACAAACTTATACTACAAAATGCATCCTCATTAATAATACTTCAAGTTCATCGCATAGCATTTAATAATAGTTCAAATCACAATCAAAGTTTTAAAGATAAATCTTTAATAAACATAAAATAAAACGACAACTCAAAGTGTCCAAGATCAAATCATCAATGTTCAAGGTCTTCATTAACTTACTCTAAAAAATATGACTCATCAATCACCATTGTTGGTGGGTTAATTGTTAAATCTTTCATTTATATATTTCAAAACATGAAACAAGTTAGAATAAGAAATATAATGTAGTACTAGTAAATTGAAGATTAAAAAAAGAATTATGAATTAGATTATAATTTACAAAGACTAATCATCCTCTAAAAAATATAAGTATAAATTTAATTTAGAGATAGAGTAAGAAACTTACTTCTATACTATTTGTATTTTCTCTAAATATATATATATATATATATATATATATATATATATATATATATAATTATAAATTTAATTTATTAATGGTTAAGTAATGATTAAACAATTAAAAGAAAGGTGGGCTGGAAGTGGAAGAATCTAAAACCCAAGAATTTATGCGAAAGCAAAAAAAAAGATCACTCTCTATCTTTGATCTTTCTTTTATATATACCACACGTAAACAAAGGGTAGTAGAAGGGCAAAAACGAAGAGAGAGACAAGAGTGATGGGTTGGTTGTTCAAGGAAAGTGGGCGTGGTGGAAAACAAGGATGGACACAGCAAACAATATCCTCCGTTTTAGCACCTCCTTTACCTCTCCTCTCCATATTCGGCATCATATGTCTGCTTCTCTTGCTTTCTTCTGACATCAACTTCAAGAAAGAGGTACACTACACGGTGCTTAACTTGAAGCTGTTCCTCTTGTTCCTCCCCGTCATCTTGATATTCGCTGCTCAGTTTGCGAGGAAGTGTGAAAGGTTCGTGATTCCTTACGCCAGGACCAAGAGGGAATTACGTAGAGATTTGCCTTGGGGCATGGTGGTGCTGTTGGTCATGGTCTCTTACCAGTCCTACTTTCATTCCATGTGGTCTTCCAATATTTGAAGGTCTGATTTCTAGTTTTTATGGGCTTTGTTTATAAATTCTGTGAGTTGCTGATTAGTTTATCAAGTTTGGCTATCTGGATCCTTGTTGTCAGAGGTAAAGCATCCACATGGCATGAATGATACGAGAAGATCAATAATCCTGTTCATCACTTTTCATTTACATGGTTATCTTATTAGCAAAATTATGGATTTTTTCTCTTGAACAAAAAGTCGGTTAGTTATGTTTATTAACTTGATCTTGTAGGTGCTTAAAATTGATTAAGTTAATTATGAATTTCCAAAACTGAAAAGGCAGATTTAACTTTTTTTATATAAAATATATACCATGTATAGTTTTAATCAAAACCTAAATTCATTTTTAGGAGTAATCATTTGATTGAGTCAAATTGAGTCAAAAGATTTCGAGTTAGTCGAGTTGATAAATATTATTTTATAAATCAAATTTTATTTGAAATTTTTGAGTCGAATTGTTTGAATTTCTGTTTAAATTTAATTATAAATATTTATAATATTATGATACTAATTGATTCCAATTTAAATAATTTTCTATAACCATTTAGGATATGCATATACATTTTTTCTTTCTCGTAGTCCATTAATTACTAAAAATTTTAAATTATCCGAGACACAAATTCTATTTGAAATTTTATTGTGTGTGTTTTCAACCAACAGATTATTCTCCCCTAGATGCAATGACCTGTTTCCCACATAAATATGCTCCTCATTTATCAGCCATGAAAGAGCGCTCCTACAATTTATGCCCTCTACCTTCTTTATCAGAATAATATTAGCATCCACCACACGTTAAAAAGATGTCCAGACTGATAATGATAACCACAAACGCCAACTCATTAACATTTTTAGTACACATTAATGTAATAATTGGTAAAAAGAATGAAGTAAATTATATTTTATCATCAACTAACAATTAACTAAAAGTTAATATTTTTGTTGACATACGATCATAATATTACATATACAATTAAAAGAAAGGCTTAATTATAAAATAAGAGTTCAATTTATAGCGTTTTTCACGAAAAGTTGTCTAAATTATTTTTTAAATGATCTAGGTGTCTAACATTACAAACGTTGTCACTTTAAGTGTCCGAGCCGTCAACAACATTAATTCTTCTGTTAAGTGACACATGTTACAATATAATAATTTTAAAGATTTTATTTAAAATTTAAAAATTCAAATTATAATTATAATTTTTTTAAAACAAAAATACATAGATTTCGAAATAACCTCAAAACTTTGAAAATCTTCATTTTAACCCCTAAACCCATGTCGATCACCGTCCTTTTCCATCGTCGAAGCTCCACCCGACCTCACCTCCCCCGATGACCAAAATCCCTATGAAATCGTGACTAATCGAAAACCAATCGACAATGAATAGACGTTTTATTCCCCACGAACCCTAGGATGAAAATTGTAATCGCATAGATTTTGATGGTTCATCGACGGAAACAACGACGATGTATGACTAGGAAGATGGTATGTACTATGTCGTCGCGATGAATGTGGGCAGAAAGGGTGATTGTGATGAGTTAGGGTTAGGATTTGGGGCTTTTTTATAATTTAAGAGAAATTAGTTTTTTTAGTAAATATAATAATATTTAAAATATTTTAAAAATTAAATTTCAAAATTATCATATTATGACATGTGTCACTTAACGGAGAAAATTAATACCGTTGATGGTCCAGACACCTAAAGTGGTAGCGTTTGTAACGTTAAGACACCGAGATCATTTAGAAAATAATTTAGGCACATATTCGTTAAAAACGATATAATTTGGACATTATTTTATATTTAAGCCTCAAAGAAACTTAAATGAAAAGTTTTTCAACTATTTGACAATAAACACTCAATCAGCCTGTTGCAATCGCTGGTGCTCGAACCCATGACCTCTAAGAACAACAATGATTCTTTTAACCACTAAGGTAAGTTAATTCGTGAAAATATAATTAAATTTAAATGAAAAAGTATGAAATTATAAATAATAAGATTATAAATCATATTCTAACATTTTTTTTCTTAATAACAAATATTTTTTAAAATGTCAATTAATTATTAAACTTAAAGTCTATTAGCATGCAACATGCCAAAAGTTCAAAACTAAAAAATGGTATCATATTTTATCGCACCCTATATGTGAGTGAGAAAACATTTTATATAAAAAAATTATTTGATGAGAAAAGATTTTATATAAAAAAATTGTTTAAGGAATGATTACATATAGAGAATTGATTTATATATAAATATATTAATATTTTATTCAATTATTATATAATAATTTTTAATTATTTTGTTTAATGTCAAGATAAAATTATAAATGAAAAAAGAAACAATAACAAAAGAATCTCGCATTATTATACCACATCTAAAATAGTTGAAATCAATTAATCATTCAAATTTAAAAAAAAAAAAAAAGTGTTGTTTTTCTCTCTCATTATCTCAAAAGTTTATTTAAAAGAAAACAATAATCTTCTTCAACCTATTCCCTGCACGCGAAAATTGCTCCATCATTTTTCTGATATGTTATTTAGTTGGGCTGCTGACATGTCTGAAAAATAATAGTGAGCGTACAAACAAAATCTTATCATATCTATTATTTACCCACCACAAAATCTAAGTGCTCAACTACTCCCTTGTAATTGAAATTTATGAAATACATAGTTGGATATTGTGTGTCATGGTTTAGCTCTTCCTCCACTGCCTCCATACAGTGTATACAGCCACTTTCCTATTCCTGTGATCCACACTCTTCCAACTGAACTACCTCAAAAATGAAGACCAAGAGTCCGATCTTCTCGGTCACTTCATGGGTCCGACGACAGCCACCGAAGATGAAGTTGTTTTTAGCCCTTCTTTCAGCCATGGCGGCTATCATGTTTTTGCGAATGGTCGTAGAAGATCACAACAACCTTTTTGTTGCTGCCGAGGTGGTTCATGCCTTGGGTACTTGTGTCCTTATTTACAAGCTTACCAAAGAGAAAACTTGTGCTGGTACACCATTTTTCTCTCTCCTTTTTCCCCTTAAATTCAATTTGTTTGATTAGTGTTCCTTCGGGTGGTTTTAATTTGGCATATTTAATCTCACCATGCATGATTACTGGTATATTTTGTGGCTATATATGCCTCTTATGTTGTAAGAAATGGAATCCTTGGCCTATTTTTAGCTACCTGATTTCTTAGGGGAAAGGAAACATGTTATTTTTTGTTCATAGTTAATAGTTCATTTGAGATCAACTGTTGGCTTTTCGATTTCTCTTACTATTGAAGTCCCTTAATGTTATATCTCTTGGCAGGAATTTCCCTTAAATCGCAGGAACTAACAGCTCTATTTTTAGCTGTTCGGCTATACTGCAGTTTTGTCATGGAATATGACATACATACAATACTTGATACGGCAACATTAGTGTCAACCCTTTGGGTTATTTATATGATCCGTTTTAAACTGATGTCAACTTACATGGAGGATAAAGACAATTTTAAGATTCAATACGTGGTAAGCCTTCATATCAAACTTATGGATTATATGTTCCAGTTTCAGAGAGTTTTTCTTCATACTGAGTTTATATATAAATTTTGGTACTTTTTGTTTGCATATTGAGCAAGTATACAGAGCTAGGTTTACATTATCAGCCTTAAGAATAATTAATCTTCTGTGGCTTGAGCAGCAAAGTCCCTTAAAATCCTGCAATTCCTCTCCTTCCATCGATATATGCTTATCGTTGTTTCCTTATAGGTGATACCCTGCGCTGTTTTGTCGCTGTTTGCTCATCCTACAACAAGTCATATTTCCTTCAACAGAATCTGCTGGGCTTTCTGTGTTTACCTTGAAGCTATATCAGTCCTGCCTCAGCTAAGGCTCATGCAGAACATCCAGGTAAGGTGCAAGTGACAAGCACTAATTGGATGGTTTGATCTTAAACCAAAACTTAATTGAATATGTGGCCTTCCTCTTTGCCCCTTTTTTCAGATCATTGAACCATTCACCGCACATTATGTGTTTGCGTTGGGACTTGCTCGGTTCTTGAGTTCTGCACATTGGGTTATCCAGGTATTGAGCTCTACTGGCATCGATACTTAGTTTATGGTTAAGATATTGACATCAATGTGTTTGGTCTAACTGAGTGTGTTCCTTTGCTTAGTTATTCGACACGAGAGTGCTTTTATTGATAGCGTTGGGACGTGGAATATGGCCTTGTTTGGTCCTGCTCTCTGAGATTGTCCAGACTTTCATTTTGGCAGATTTTTGCTACTACTATGTCAAAAGGTGGGTATTGTGCATAAATTTTGCAACATGCCTTGAATGATAAATCTCTTTATATTGGTTAAAATGTTTATTTTCGTCTGATCTTACAGTATCCTTGGCGGACAACTTGTGGTGCGACTCCCCGCCGATGTGGTGTAAACTTAAAAGGACGGCAAGAAGAATGAGGCCATTGAAGTCTCTAAAAGATCTTTGTTGTGTATTATATTAGGATAGTTTGTGAACTTTGTCCCTCTGTAGCAACCAAGGCTATAAATTGCAGGGAATCAATAAAATGGATGATGAATTACATGTACTCACATGCATAATCTATTACAGGGAGTATCTCATCAAAATAACTACGTTGCATCAGTATTATTATTATTTTAAAGTAAGTTGCATTAGTATTATCACTTGGGGCTTTGGGCTTGTCTTCTGCTTTATTGTGTCCAGGTGAGAGCGTGTGTCGGATTAGATAGGGGTTAACTACAACATTGGTACCCCTTTTATTGGTTTGTCTTATTTTGATCATCATTTTTGAAAAGGTTATATCATGGTCACTTTTACTTTTTCTATCTTATTTTTAATCATTGACTTGTAAGTTTAGGTTGGCAAACGCATTTGTAAAACTGATTAAATTTTAGATTGAATATTAATTTGATTTTAGACTTTAAATAAAATGCTAATTTGACTTCTAAAATTTAGATAGAAAGAATAATTTGACTTGTAAATCCAATTAAAATCTCTATCGTCTATTGTTCATCAAAGTTGTTGGGTACCACTCATTGATTGTTGTTGATGATTATTCACTTCAAAATTTTCAGTTCATTTTATTTTATTCTCCTAAATGTAAATTTAACATTTGTTTTACTGAAAAATATTTTAAACTTCACAAATGTAATATAGAAATTAATTCTTTTAAAAATAAATTATAATAATAAATTTATCATTTTATTCCTTTAAAAATAAAGACACTAAAATTTTAAATTTATATTATAATGACAATAATTTTATTTATATAAGTTTTATAAATTGTATATTATTATAGTTATTATATTTTAATTTGTTTTTTATTTTGGTAAAATTTCAATATATAATTTATCAAGATTAATCGGTGAAATTATTATGATTAGATATAATTTTTGTCTAGTATTCTTTGAAGGCTCTTAATTTTTATTTTTTTTTATAAATAAAATTGAAAAAAAAAGGCTTTGCCTTTTGTTTGATCAATGTGTTTATAGGACGTTGGTGTTGTTTTTTCATCAGTGAATATACAAGTATATGTGAAATCAATATATCATATTAAAAATTTATTTTGGTTTCATTTATTGCATTAGACCAATTTATTTATATTAAATTTCAGTTTATTCCCCCCCTCTCTCTCTCTCTCTCTCTCTCTCTCTCTCTCTCTCTATATATATATATATATATATATATATATATATATTATTCAACTATTATGGGTTGATGGTCGAAATAATTAAAGCATATAAACGAAATTAAAACAAATAATTTCATGTTTGAATGAGTTAAAGTTTGTTTTATTTCAAAATCAGATCTTTTTAGATCATTAATTGAGTTTTTTAAATCATATTATTTAAATTTATTTTATTTTAGAATTATATCTAAATTAAATTAACAAACTTAAACTCAATTTTAAAATTGTGAATATTTTTAAAAGGTTATAAATTTCACTATTACTTAAAATTTATAGAATTTTTATATTTCAACAAATGATGAGTGAACTTAATTAGAGATGGATAAGGGGAGTGTTGGGGATGATGCGTCCTTAAAAATCTTTTAATTTAATCAATTAAAAAATAATATATGTTTATAATACTGTTTATTCATTGATAATACACACACAATATAAATATAATTGCTGGAAAACGAAATCTTCAAAAAAACTCTTTTATTATTAAAATCATTCAAAAAAATTTGATTTCGGTTAAAAAGTTTTATAGGAATCTCATATTTTTTAAGGTTTGGTTCGGTACTTCACTTTGAAATGATAATATTCCCAGAGACAAAGAGAAAAAAAAAAGGAAAACGATATTACATATCGAGACTTAGAGGATGGGGAATTTATTTAGAAGGCGCGTGGAATTGATAATGCCCTGCCCGAGTAGACTCATATTCTTATTTTTAAAACCTTGTTTTTTTTCCAATGTGAGCAGAATCCCCCAGTCTTGTTAGGATGAGCCAAGTTGAGTCAGGTTTTTGTTCTACCTGAATTGATCTGAGAATAAAGAGTTTTTCACCTGATACCTGATCCGATCAAAATAAGTTTTCACTCGACTCAAACCCAACTCGATATATAACTTAAAAACTCGATTTGACCCGAAATAATAAAAAAATATTTTTATTCAATAAAATCATTGACCTAATTGAAAAAAATAATACATAGAGGGGTATTATTGTAATTATTCCTAAATATATAAGGTAAAATTAAATATTTTTTCGAGTCAGGTAGGGTCAGGTATTTTTCACCCTAAACCCAAACCCGACCCGACCCAAACACCACATAAAAAACCCGACTCAAATCTTTTTCTTTTTTAAAGAAATCCGACCCGATCAAACCGAGTCGAGTTGAAACTCCTCGAGTTCAGGTCTAATCCCCATCATGCTAAGATCGCCACTCGTGCGTGAGTCCAAGGCCCACCCACCTTGGTGTCACGGACTTAGCCTAGTTGGTTCGGTTGCTAATCCGTGTGGCACTCGAAAGGGACGCTTCCCAACCAAGTCAGCCTTAATCTCGTAGATCTGATCAAGCATAAACAAACATCGCGTTAGATCTTTATAGCCACATGGTCCTTCGACCAATAATCCGAGCCCGTGGGGCATAGCGGATGCACACCTCAACCCCCGGACTTCTCCGAGAGAAAAATGTTTTATTAATAAAAGAAACATCGGGTTACAGAAGACTCACCCACACCACCGATTAGGCCGTAGGGGCGGCCCTCGATGGTGTTCACAAGACACGTACCTTTACCTGTGGATCAGCCCAAACTCTACTGGCTGTCCACCCCCTACATATATGCAAAAACAAAATAACAGAAATGCTACCTATAGACGTTGAAATGCTCGAACAGGGGACAGTAAGTCATACCCTCACTCCCTACCTAAAACATTAAAATGCTTGAAAAGAGGACAAGCTTATTCTACCCTGCCATTAGGCCCTATACATGGTTGGCCTTGGCGTACCTACCCGGTTGTGGCCCCATAAAAGGGACGGTCACGACAATCTCCCCACCTAATTTGTCGACGTCCTCGTCGACTGCTTGGCCTGAAACTCTTCAATCTTTTGCTTGAATGCCCTGAGATCATACTCTCTTTCCCAAGTGTTCTCTTCCTGATCAAAGCCTCCCCACTTGACTAGATACTCCCGTCTTTGCTTTCCACCCACCTTAACAATTCTCCCTGCTAGAATCTCGTCAACATGACGCTGTGAGGGTAGTTGTGTGCCGATTGACTCCCTGGCAGACATACTCTGATTATCGATATTGGGATCGGTGTGAAACGGCTTCAAATTGCTCACATGGAAGACAGGGTGAACTCTCATCCAAGTAGGAGGGTCAACTTTGTACAAAGCATTCCCCACCTTTGCTACTATTGAGACTGGACCCTGTACTTACGCACCAAGCGACGATCCTTGGCGTAAAAATCTAAGTTGTTCTGGCATCAACTTAACTAGCACCAAATCTCCAACCTGAAAGTGTAGGTCTCGCCTGTTACGATCTGCGCATTTCTTCATACGCTTCGTTGTTTTCTCTAAGTAAGCCTTGGCAATCTCCATATTCTGCTTCCACTCCCCCACAAAATTTGAGGCACGAGGGCATCTACCTTGAGAGGTCTCATCCACAGTGTGAGGAAGTCTTGGCTGCTGACCTGTCACCAGTTCAAAAGGGCTTTTATTAGTAGACGAACTCTTTTGTAAATTAAAACATAATTGCGCCACATCCAATAATGGAGGCCAGTTCTTCTGATTGGCCTGAATAAAGTGCCTCAGGTACTCCTCCAAGAGTCCATTAAATCGCTCAGTCTGACCATCTGTTTGAGGGTGGTAACTCGACGAAAAGTTGAGTTGTGTCCCCAATAACTGGAACAATCCTTTCCAAAATTTCCCAATAAATCTTCCATCTCGGTCACTGACTATGCTCTGAGGAATGCCCCAATATTTCACCACATGTTTGAACACCAACTTAGCAGTCTCTTCCACCGAACAATACTTTGATGCTGGTATAAAAGTGACGTACTTCGAGAACCTGTCCACTACCACCAAAATTGATCCAAGATCTCCTACTCGAGGCAAGCGTGATATAAAATCCAAGGAGATACTCTCCCAAGGTCGGGCGGGTACGGGTAGTGGCTCGAGCAACCCAGCAGTCCTCTGTCGATCTACCTTATCTTGTTGACAGATAAGACATGTCTTGGTGTAATCCATCACATCTTGGCGCATTTGAGGCCAATAATACCCTTGTCCCAACAAAGCAACAGTACGCCTCCAACCAGGATGCCCGGCCCATGGGGTATCATGACATTCCTTCAACAGCTTCTGTCGTAGATTTACAGCTCGAGGAACAAACATTCGTGGCCCCTTTGTCATCAATAAGCCATTTTCTATCCAAAAACATTTCAAAACACCCTTTTTAACCATCTCCATAAGGGCCTCCACTTGTGGATCTTGCTTGGAAAAGTTCACAAGGAGCTGACGAATTTCATTGGACACTCTACTAGCGGATATAGGGGCCACACATCGGAGTGCTTCCAAATCTGCCCTGCGACTCAAAGCGTCAGCAACCTGATTCTTTTTCCCCGCCTTATGCTCAAAGTTGAAGTCAAACTCGGCCAGAAACTCTTGCCATCTAGCTTGCTTTGCTGTTAGTTTCGGTTGTGTAAGGAAGTGGCTAACTGCTATATTATCGATCTTTACCACAAATTTGGAACCCAACAAATAATGCCTCCAAATCCTCAAGCAATGAATTACTGCGAGAAGTTCTTTCTCTGGAGCCGTATATCTCGCTTAAGTTTCATTTAGCTTTCTACTCTCAAATGCCACGGGATGTTTGTCCTGTAAGAGTACGCCTCCAATTGCATAGTCGGATGCGTCTGTCTCTACTTCTAGAGGTTTTTCCAGGTCTGGCAAGGTAAGCACTGGTTCACTGATTACAACCTTCTTTAAATCGTCAAAGGCCTCTTGACAGTCCTTGGACCAAACCCACTCGCAGCCTTTCTTTAGCAAATCGGTGAGTAACTTTACTCTACGAGAATAACCTTCTACGAATCGTCTATAATAATTGGCCAAACCAAGGAAAGATCTAAGCTCACTAACATTTTGTGGGGTCGGCCACTCTTGGATAGCCTTCACCTTCTCTTTATCCATACGAATGCGCCCTCGTTCAATGATGTGGCCCAAAAATTGGACTTGCGTTTGGGCGAAAGCACATTTCTCCTTCTTCACAAACAACCGATTTTACCGTAATCTCGTCAGCACCAACCGAAGATGCTCCAAGTGCTCTTCTATAGAATTGCTAAAAAATCATTATATCGTCCAAGTAGATGACTACGAATTTATCGAGATAGTCATGGAACACCTGGTTCATCAAAGTACAGAAAGTAGCGGGAGCATTGGTTAGTCCAAAAGGCATAACAAGAAATTCAAATGCTCCATACCGAGTTACACATGTCGTCTTTGGCTCATCCCCTTCGGCCACTCTCACTTGATGGTATCCCGACCTGAGATCCAACTTCGTGAAATACTTAGCATTACTCAGCTGGTCGAACAAATCGGCAATCAACGGAATGGGATATTTATTCCTGACAGTCACTTTGTTTAATGCTCTATAATCAACACATAATCTCAAACTCCCATCATGTTTTCTCTGGAATAACACAGGCTCCCCGAAAGGTGACTTCGAGGGTCGAATAAATCCTGCTTGGAGCAACTCATCCAATTGTTTCCTCAACTCTGCCAACTCCGGAGGACTCATCCGATATGGGCATTTCGCAGGAGGTTTTACTCCCGGAATTAATTCAATCTCATGGTCCACCAACCGTCTAGGGGGCAACTCTTTCGGCAATTCACCCGGCATTACATCCTCAAAGTCTCTCAGCACTTCTTGAACATTCCTGGGCACCATGCCAAGATTGTCATCCTCTTTGGAAATTGGAAAGACTAAAAAGGAGGGCTCCCCCTTTTTCACCCCTCTCTTAAATTGGATAGCGGACAATATCTTCTTCCCAGGACGAGGGAGAATCATAGCTGGTACCACACATGGCTGCTCCCCCATGAACATTAAACAACTTGATGCCGGAACAGGAATCACCTGGGCTGCCATCATAAAATCGAGCCCTAATACCACATCAAAATCATCCATATGGGAAACAGTGAAATCTACACTTCCTTCCCAAGACCCAAGCTTGATACTGACCCTCTTCACACCTCCACATATCATTGAAGCGGTAGAGTTAACTGCTTTCATTTGTCCCACCTCCTTGGTGACAATCAACTTACATCTCTCCGCTTCCTCAGGAGAGATAAACGTATCTGTGGCCCCTGTGTCGACTAGAGCTTTAGAGGTTTTCCCATTTACTGAGATGTCCACATACATCAATCCCCTCTCTGGTTCTTTCCTCAAGTTACTCAACTGAGACTGTAATGCAGTTATGAATCGGATGGAGCCCATTCTAGCCGGCTCAGGCTCAGTATCTCCCATCGGAGCGTTCACTCTTTCTCCGTCCTTTGTTGTTGCAACCATGGCATTAAAAGCACTTCGTTATGGACACTCTGCAACCCGATAGGGTCCATTGTAAAGAAAACACCTTAACAAGGGTCTATTCCCTCCATTGCTCGATCCAGGACCAGTAGGGACTTTATTTTGAGCTGGGTCCCTTCCAGGGACTCTTCTATTTGCTCCCCAACTCGATGTCTTCTCCCCTCGAGCCAACTTGTTCCCACTAACCTGTTGGGTGTTAGCTCCACTCACAGAAGGCGTCTTGCGCTTTCCAGGATGATCGTTATAATCATTAAGGCACTCGGCAGCAGCTATCGTTACTGTCAAATCTTGAACCTTCTGTCTCTGCAACTCGAGTCTAGCCCATGGCTTGAGCCCTTCAAGAAAATGAAACAACTTATCTCTTTCTGAAATATCCTTTATATCCAACATCAAGGTTGAGAACTCTCTCACATACTCCCGTATAGTCCCAGTGTGGGATAATTCCCTTAGCTTCTTACGAGCGTTGTAATCAACATTCTTGGGGAGGAATGAGGTCTTCAACTCATTCTTTAACGCATCCCAAGTCGTAATGGAGCACACTCCATCTTTGAACTTGGACCGCCACCATAACTTGGCGTCACCACCTAGATACATCGAAGCCATTGCCACCTTATCTTCCTCAGACTCCGTGCGCATAGCTCGAAAATACTGCTATATGTCAAATAAGAAATTCTCAAGCTCTTTAGCATCCCTCGCTCCATCAAAGCGTTGAGGATCAGGGATCTTGGCTCGTACGCCCACTCTTTCAATAGGGTTTGCGGTCAAACTAGCTACTGCTGCCTGAAGCACACTGACTTGAGCCTTCAGCTCATTATACCCAAGTTGTATCACGCCTATGGCATATCTTACCTCATTGCCCAAATCAGTCACTGTCTCGAGCAAATCTTCTTGGGTCTCCTCTACTCTCCTCATACGATCACCAGATATCATATGAGCTCTAAGGGCAGCTAGTGCAGCTTCGATCTCTTCTAGGTTCCGTCGATCAACCGAACCAGTCTCTTGCACAATTGGCTCGGTAGCTTCCTGCTCTACACCTCTGTGAGAGCTTGTCGATCCGCCATTTCGTGTGCGAACCATTCTCGGTGCAACCGGCTCAGTAACTTCCTGCTCTACACCTCTGTGAGAGCTTGTTGCTGCGCCATTTCGTGTGCGAACCATTCTTTGTAACTCGCTGGCACCTATATGCCTGCAACACAAATAAGCACAATCGTGCCTAAATTAGGAAGGAAAAGAGCACCGCTGTACTGAATCCATAGCACCTCTGTGCTAGAATTAACGATTGAGCACCTCTGTGCTTCAATCGAGAGCTGACACCTCTGTGTAGCCAAAAGTGATTGAGCACCTCTATGCTTCAATCGAGAACTGACACCTCTGTGCAGTTAAAAAAAATGACTGAGCACCTCTGTGCTTCAGCCGGGAGCTGACACCTCTGTGTAGCTAAGATGATTGAGCACATCTGTGCTTCAATCGAGGACTGACAACTCTGTGCAGCCAACTATGACTGAGCACCTCTGTGCTTCAATCTAAATTCTGGCACCTCTGTGCATTGGAATGATTGAGCACCTCTGTGCTACAATCTAAAATCAAGCACCTCCGTGCTTTTACAAATGACCGAGCACCTCCGTGCTGCGGCCTGAGACGAAGCACCTCTGTGCTAGGTTTAGCACTTGCGCACAGCTGTGCCACAAGCAGGTAACAAGCACTATCATGCTTTACTCAACAAAATGAGCACCTCCGTGCTTTTAGTAAATGAACACGCACCTCTGTGCTCTGATACCAAGTGTCACAGACTTAGCCTAGTTGGCTCGGTTGCTAATCCGTTGTGGCACTCGAAAGGGACGCTTCCCAACCAAGTCAGCCTTAATCTTGTAGATCTGATCAAGCATAAACAAACATCGCGTTAGATCTTTATAGCCACATGGTCCTTCGACCAATAATCCGAGCCCGTGGGGCATAGCAGATGCACACCTCAACCCCCGGACTTCTCCGAGAGAAAAATGTTTTATTAATAAAAGAAACATCGGGTTACAAAAGACTCACCCACACCACTGATTAGGCCGTAGGGGCGGCCCTCGATGGTGTTCACAAGACACGTACCTTTACCTGTGGATCAACCCAAACTCTGCCGGCTGTCCACCCCCTACATATATGCAAAAACAAAATAACAGAAATGCTACCTATAGACGTTGAAATGTTCGAACAGGGGACAGTAAGTCATACCCCCACTCCCTACCTAAAACATTAAAATGCTTGAAAAGATGACAAGCTTATTCTACCCTGCCACTAGGCCCTATACATGGTTGGCCTTGGCGTACTTACCCGGTTGTGGCCCCATAAAAGGGACAGTCACGAAATAATCTCCATCATGCTAAGATCGCCACTCGTGCGTGAGTCCAAGGCCCACCCACCTTGGCTCGCTCATTTACCAACTCCGAACCCTTGGCCTCGCTCCATTTCCCTACTGTTTGTAAATTATTTTCTTTATCCAGTTTACTTAACATTTATCCGCCTGGATAAACTTCACAATACCTTGATTTACATATTTCTTTTTAAATTTCTCAGGAATTCAGATAAGATTGAATTAAAATATTTTAATTATTGTATGATATTAAATATGACTTTTTTTGTTGTTGATAAATCCGTATACAGAAAACATTAAGATTTAATGAGAAAGATAAAGGAATTGGTGGGCCTAACACCAGTTACACCAAGGCCAGCCTATCCATCAAAGCTGATTGGTTCGTAAGGAGGAAAAGAGGCTCGTCAACAAACCCCTTTCTTTTCTCTTTTGTTTGATAAATTAGCTAGTAGGGATCTAACCCGACCCAAACTCAAAATTTTATATCATTTATCCGACCCGTCCACCTGACTCGAATCAGAACTGATTTTTTGAGATAAAATCCGAACTCTATCTGATCTGACCCGAAATATTATTTTTATTCAATAAAACAATGATTTAATTAAAAAAATAAAATAAAAAGGGGCATTATTGTAATTATTTATAAATATATAAGATAAAATTATATTTTTTTTGAGTCAGATATTTTTCATCTTAAACCCGAATTCGAATCCACCCAAATTCGATTTTTTTTAAAAACTCGCCCCGATCGAGTTGGATCGAAACTCATCAAATTCGAGTCTCACGTCCATCCCTATTAGGTAGTGGGGAATCGAAATTATTAGGTGGTGAATGAGTAGTTAAACAAATCGCTAAACCGGGACATTAAGTTAACGAAAAAATCATTATATGGAAATAATTTTTTAAATTGTATTATCACGTTTGATTATTATTTGGTAATAACTCATTATTCATAGTTGCAGTTTTTAGTTAAAATAATGCGGATGTTATTACTCTTAATATTACATAATTTTCACCGCTTTTGATAAAAATATTTTAAAAATAATGAATTCTTTTCCTATGAATATTTTTATTTCTCTTTATAATGTGTTTTACTCAAAATTATAAGCATAATAATAATACTATATAAATCGTTTAATTTAGTAAAATATTATTAAATTTGAATAATTAAAATTATTTTTATTTTTTAATATTTGATATATTTATCATTTATAATTTTATGAGGGAAAATGATATTATTGTAAAAAATATAATAATTTAAAATAACATTTAATTTTGAGTTATTAGAAATGAATTTTATACACATAAAAATAATATATTTATCCAATTGATTCCACAATATTATTTTTTATATTATATTATATTTAATATAAATAAATATGATACTTATGAAAATTATTTAAAAATATAAATTTATACTAATTATATTAATCATATGCTAAATTTATTTTTTTTCTCAAAAGCTAGTGTACCAATTAAAATATTTGTATGAATTTTTAGTAAAATATTTATAATTTAATATCAAAGTTTAACTTATTGAAAATATATATATCATAAGGACATTTTAGTAAAATATGCATTCAAGTAATCTTATATTCTTCAAACCAATCATTATAATTTACATTCCTACAAAACAAATCGAATAAAATAATATAACATTCCCAAGAAAATATAATATTCTAATAATCTTATTTCCAAAAAAATAATTTTACATTTCTCAAACCATTCTTAAAAATAAGGGTAAATTATACCATTCTTACTAAATTTTATTTTATCTCCTATTTTTCTCACTACACTTTTAATTTTTTTTAATTTACACATTAAACTTTCGAATTACTCCTATTTTGATTACTTTGAATTATTTTGTTATTATTTTCTTATGACATGGCATTTTTTATTATTTAAAATAAAAATAATTTAAAATATAAAAAAACAAAATGTGTCCTCTATTGTTCACCCGTGTTAGACGCCGTCATCGGTTATTGTAAATGGTGACTGTTCAATCCTAAATTTTATGGGTTGCTTCGTCTCGATACTGTTAGGATAGAAGGGGCTGAATTTGATCAACCAAAAATTGCACAAAGGGGAAAATTGGCTAAAACTTGTTTAGGGAGTAAGGAGAAATAAAAGATAAAAAGTTTTACATTGCGATTTATAGTGGTTCGACTTCTCAACTAAGTTTACCTCCACTACCTTAGCTCCTCACCAAGGATTTTCTAACATATTCACTAATTTATTTTTCCTTTTTACAGGATCAAGAGATAACTTTTACACTCCCTAGTTTTTCGCTTGGCTAAACTAGAACCAATTCCCTTTACAAAAGGTAAAAAGAAGTGAACAAATAAAACCACTTAAAGGTATGGTGTTTACAAATTAAATCTCACAAGACAAAAATATTTTCAGAAGAAAGTAAAATAGGAATGACAAACTCTTCTCTTGTGTTTGATTGCTTGGATAGGTGTTTTAACCCTTCTTTAAGTGTCTTGAACTTGTATTTATATGTTGGAATGAAGTTGTGGTCGTTTTTAGCCGTTGGGAGTCTTTTAGAGTTGTTGGGGATGTTTTTCTCTGCAAAATAAAAATGCCCATTACAGAGGGTATCAGTACTCTTATAGGGAGGATC